AAAGTAAGCGTAAAATTAATGAAATATTAAAAGAATGGTTTCAGTGTAAAGGCGCCTCGTTTGTTACACGGAAATGTTTTTGACATTTTATATAAAAGAGATTTTCGAGTGGCGGTGGCGCCACTGTCGGAAATGGGACTCGGATGACCAAATTATGATTGTCAGTGTTGAAATGTCACAAAATAGCATGGAGTCTGGTATTATATCTGATCCTTATTTCATAATAGACTCATCCTTCTTGTAATAGACCTTACGATATAATTACCCAATAAGCATAATTGCCACATATCCTGACTTCTACTTTAGCGCAAAATTTTAAAATTGACAACCAATTATTTGTTCGTAGTAAAATCGTAAAGTCCAATAGCACCTTGTTCGACAGTACATCGATCTCGAGGCCCCTATAGTTGGTAGTCACACTTGCAAGACCACTTAATCAATAAGGCAACATTTTGTCTAGTTTAAACATAATAATTTATTCTTTTCATCCAAATGTAGTGTTATTTATCAATCGGCATAAAAGGTTTCATTCGGTTACTAGCGCGACCTTCTTTGTTATGTCACAAGGTAACGAGTAGGTGCTAAATATCTGCTTCAATGTGTGCGTAACATTCGCAACGCGCCTTTCTGTCTAGCAGTCTGCTAAAGTTTGGTTGTTCGATCACCAGAGGGCGATACTTTCGATTATGATACACCATTTTCCTTGTTTTGTAGATAGTGTTGAATTTCTTAGGTTTTGATATATAATTATTAGCGTTGAAATGAAGCGTCATAGATACGATGTTTTAGTTTAGATTTAAGAGTCTAATCCCTATACCTAGTTTATTTCATGAAAATGATTTTGGTCTAAACGTCGAGTCGTCTTGTCTTACGACTCTTGTTTACCGATTTCGGTGAATGCAATTTGTTGTAAGATGTAATTAATAAAGAAACTGACTCGAAATTCTCCCACAACCTCTCCGAACGACCCGGTTGCCATCACATGTAAAAATGCTAATTGAACGCGAACAAGACATCGGCAGAGTTCGCTTCAGGCGGCTCGATCAAACGGGAGGAGAAAGTCGCATTGTGAATTCATACATTTTCGGCCACAATACCAATTTTGGTCAATAATTGCATCGAATAGGGTCAAAGTATAAGTACGTATTTTCTGTTTATCATACCAATTTATGTTTAGTTGCGTAAATAATCGGCAGGGTATATTACATGTGTTTTTCGCCTCGATCCAAGGATGTTTGATCCATCCATCTTACATCATTTATTGCTTTATCGATCTAAATGCGTCATAAAAGGTGATTCCAATAATCTATGGCAATCAATAGGTGTTTTAATCTAAAGTATGCACATTATAAGATTAGTGATCGTGAAGCGGAAGAGATAAGCGTGCGCAGCTCAGTCGAGCGACAGCGCGGACACCCGAGACTGCGTGGCGTCGACACGACACAACTACGAATTAAAATTAACCGAGATCATTATTTTTAACGAGCGCCCTTTGTCCAACCGCCGCTACTCAGAATCAGAAATGCGACTTCGATTATGCAGAAGATTAATACCTAAGAAGATTAGATGATAACGTTTAAGGAAGCTCTTATGCGTAATGAGAGCACCCGTCTGGTTTAACTGCAGTTAACTAAACATTGAACCGTGGTACGAATAATTACACTTGAAATAACACAGGTGCTAACTCGTAACTATGCACACACACATAGATACGAACTGATATGCCGATACTCGATACACATGAGCAGATTTTTATAAGTTTAGATTCCAATTTAGTTAATTTATGACAGTTTCGTGTTTATGAATACAAAATGAATATTAAATAATATATGCATATTTATAACCAACTACCAATTAGAGAGGAAGGTAAAACTAAAAATTATTGCAATGTTAAGCAATCATAAAAACTAAAGTTTTATGAGAGATTATTAAAATGATCACACAGATAGACCGGCTGCCGTATAAAAACAGTAGTAATGCAATTTAATGTAAATACGTAGGTTTTATTGCATTTATATTGGAAGCACGTCGGCGTGGGTTAAGTAAAAAGTTTAATATAATTCATAGTTGTATTGATGATTGCGATTTTTATGCGGTCGTGCATAATGTATGGGTGTGCGCGTGGTGGGACCGCCCTGGGCTTGCACCGACACCGTTACCACGATTGTGTTTTGATTGCCGCCTTCTCAGAACATTCGACTACTCGTTTGTACCGTTTACCGAACGCAGCGAGCTTCCTCATTGCATTCATTACACACTGGTTTTGGCCATGCGTGATCTGGATACGAATTAATGTAGTTAACAACTCAGTGCCGCTGTCGCCGCGCTTCAACGCCGTGTAATGGACAACATCGTTTATTAACCACCTGCACTTTAAGTAGTTAAGAACGTGTGAAAATCATTCGAATTGCGCAAAAGAAAATTCCATTATGAAACGTTCTGGTTTTCAGTTGTAATTTTCGGTATCTTCTCAAAATCCCCAGAAATAAAACTTAGTTATTATCTCCGCAGTAAATTAATTTCAGCTGTACGGATACGGCAAACATCATCATGTTTGACCGTTCTATGTACTTGAGTGTTATCTATTTGGCTAATGTACAGTGATAACAGTAATAAGTAAAATTTCCTACCAAACGTCCGCTTTCCTCGTCGGGAATTACGTAATCTCGTGTTTTTATGAAAAAGAACGTTCAAATCTTGCACTGTGCGTGACATTAGCAAAGGTAAGTTGCGGTGACATTGAGCCACGATAATTACTTTGAGATGAAAAACTATAATTCATACGAGAGTAATTGTTTAGCAACGTTCTTTGAAAACAAATATAAACTGAAAGATTAATGAGGATGTAAGTGAAGGAAAACATCCGATTCTAAACATTGCTGTAGGAAGTTACGTAACACAAGACGTCTGCTTTTCTTCATTCATAGTAGCTATGCTTGCAATGCGCTCATTATGTCTCGTTCAAACTAAAATATTGTAATTTGTTAACACCTTACTCTCTCAATGAGAAGCCGCCTAATTTCTTTTCTCAATGTTGCCAATAAGATCCACATTTTATTAGTTTCGAAAATAAAATTTATATTTTTTCGAGTGCACGCGCTTGTTGAATCATGCATTTCGATACCAATGCGATCTGTAAGCTAATTTAAAAGAATACATTTTAAGAGTAATTGAAGCGGATACCCATTAGTTTCGAGTCATGTTTGCGGTTGAAATCAGTGCCATTTACAGGCTGTAACAACTCTGCTTGTGCAACAGAACTTCGCATGTCCAAAAAAAAATTGTACTTGTAATTATATAACGCTATATGGTTATAGGCTTTTGTTAAAATAATGAATGCCCAATTTGTAGCCACCCAACATCCTTGGCCTTAATGTCGGCGTTTTTGATGTGACCACTCGGGCCGGCACATCGCCGTTAGCGATTCGCAAATATACGCAAAAAACCGATAATGATGTAAACAGCAATTTGTCGAGAGGTCCAACGTTTTGGCAACGTTTTTTATCAATCATTGCACGTAACTGTGAACTTGATGAATTGCCGTTGCATTCTTTAAACATGTTTATTTTATGCAGTGAATATTTATTTTAAACTGTGTTCGTAATTTTTTTACCTCTTGGGCCTACTAAAGTATTGGGTTCATATTTACACATAATGGGTTTTGTATCCAGTCTATTTTATGATAATTATGATTATCATATCATATGAACATGTGGATAATAACTATCTTAAACAATTCTATTTACTTTGGCACTAAGAACAGGCCTAATACGTTGTGATTATCATCTTTTGCAAACTCTATTAAATATCATTAGTCTGTTTGCACATCTAACTTAAGTACAGTTAACTAAATCACTTAAGTACACTTCACTTGAGAGACAGCCACTTCACACCATCTGTTTAAACTGCAATCGTTCAATGTCAAACTGTACACTATCGCATCTTTCTAGAAACTCGATTTGCGTAAAGGAAAAAATCATTGCAACAACCGATGTGCGTGAACGTATCTTTATCTTTTTTATCTTATTTAAAAATAGAAATGTGCACAATGAAAGTAGGCGAAGATAACGAACAAATGTTTGAATATTATGACAAGTGTGTTTGGTCAGACATGGCGGTGCCGATTTGATTGAGTGTTGAAGTGTTCTGCGGATTATATCGACAAAGTAAACGTTCAAACTAAATACCGCACAGACTAAACACGAGCGGCGTTATGCAACACGTGTGCCCGACCACCCGGCCTCTTACCGACACGAACCAAATGCAACAAAATTATGATTTATTTAAATTACAATTACAATCTAATTTTACTTTATTCACCCGGTAACTGGGTGAATTTATTTGCGCGTATGTCAAAATATGTAAACACAGCCTTCATACGTAAGCCAGCCGTGTTTGGATCTCTTCAGTTTGCACACTTGATTTAATACATGTTTATAATTCAGATTGCATCGTGTATTTGATTCAAGCAAAAAATGCATGCTCTATAAACATGTTCGGTCGATACAGAGTTTGCACACTATTTATTGGTGTTCAAAAATACTGGTGGTGGAGAATATTTATTTATTTAAACGTAAACATTTCCGCCGTGTTTGAAAGAATGTTGCACATAACAGTTTCGATTAATGTGAGCATCATAGTTGTGACGTAAATGAGTGGAAATCCCTGTAAAACTCTTAGAAACGCTTACACCTACATCCAGGTGTCGGCGTTCAAATCAGAAAGTGTTCTATTTCTGCGTCGGTTACTCATCGCGATTCTGTTTACTTTGCTAACAGACGGCTGCTCCTGCCATTGACCTTGTCTCGACGTTCAGTAAAAAAGAAATGCTAATATGCTGTTGCCCCCAGTGTTCGAGTGTACTTAGCGACGTTTGTGCACTGTGACCGGTAGACTGATTGGCGTTTCGTTGGACGTATTTGTTTTTTACATCTACTACGATGTATGAAGGCAAACAAAAAGTTTCTTATATTAAATATTTTAAAAAAGTCAGTTCGTACCTACAAGGAGTGTCGTGTTGGCTACAGATGTCTCTCCTGGTTACTAGAATGGCAACATCGTGGTGGTGAGGATTGTTGTCTCCCTCCGGATTCAGCTTGTGTTGCCACCGACAGAACGAGGCCAGGGTTATGTCCGCGTTCGTCGTTACCTTTAGATCTGGGGCTGCCTCGATTTGTTCCACCAGGATAATCTTCACAACCACCACTTTTATGTAATTACCGATAGAAGGGTCCATGTAGAGCGACGATACCTAGACAACGAACACATTTATTACAGTCTAAATTAAATTCAAGAACTTGATTCGTTTTTTTTACATTAAAATTAATAATAACTTGATTATTTTTATTGTATTGGTACAAGCAAAAAAGCAAACACGGAAGTTTTGTTTACACGTACCATATTCATAATAGTAAGCAGATAAGTTTCCAAACTGCCCTGGTCGTGGAAATCGGTCATAGATTTGTCGGCGACTAATAAAACTTCGACGTGGCGCGGCTTGCTCACGGAGCGTGTGCTTCGTCTTGCGCCATCCAGAGTGCGCTGCGCCATATTGTGATGATGCGGGTAATGAGGATGGTGCTGCATCTATAATAACACACATTTTAACTTTTTACCGTTAACATAAAATTACAATTAACAGATATTTACTTTTAGTTGGTACTATTTCTGTCCAATTTCAAGGAACGCAATCATGAATTCGATGAATGCAGTCTTGTATTTGAAGTCAATGATTTGTGTAGCTGTTTCAGATGTAAATACTTAGTAATCAAATATTGGGGTCGGAACGAGCAACGCTATTAGAGATCATAGGTCTAACAACATTAATTACGCAAAGTTATGTAACGTATAAGAAACATGTTTAGTTTATCCATACCTTGTTACTGTGATCGTAATTGTGTCGTGCTGCTTCTGATTTTAGTAAGTTCTGTTTTCGCCAAAGGTACGTTGGCTGTTTCGTGGCGCAATTTTTCGATCTTTTTCGTCGTTGCTTATTCCTTATAATGCGCATCCTCTGTGCCTCTGTCAACCTATTCCGGTTCCTTCTTCTCGATTTCATTGACGCCTGATCTAATGATCTACTGTTCTCATAAGAACTAGATTGACTTCTAGAGTTAGGCTGACTTCTAGAGTTAGGCTGACTTCTAGAGTTTGTCTGTAATCTTCTTTCTTCCATGCGGAGCATGCTTTGATGTCTTCTGTATTCCGCTGGGTTTTTCCTCATCATTTCCATTCTTCTTCGCCTTTGTTCCAAATATTCTCGTCTGCGCTTGTCCATTGCTTCTTTGTTTTCGCGATATCGTCTAGCGTTAGCTCGAGTTCGTTGGTTGTTGTTATATTGCCTTGGATTTCTATCCCGATTATCTCTAATTTGAGTATTGCTTCTGGTTCTAGTGTCGACTTCTCTCTTAGCTCTGTGCCACGCGGCTACTTTATCGACAGCAGATCTTTTGAATATAACATGCGGTCTTGGTTCTGACTTGTCAGCCGGTATTTGATTGGATGGTTCAATCCAATATTCTCCGTGCTCCGTTCTCAAGAGACCCGCCTGTTGATAAAAACAGTAATAAATAACACAAGATAAATTACAACACAACCGCACAATACGTGCAAAAATCGGTACCTATTAAATAAATCCTTAAACCTTGATTAAGGTAACAAACGTCTGTATCTCTTGTCGGTAACCTCGGTGTTCTTATGACAGCTTATCTTACTTGCGTCATAGCGATGGCGTGATGATATAATAAAGCATTATGATGATACTCTCAAAAATATCAAAGAACTGGGAACTTATCTGCGAAGGTTACATTGAAAAGTTTGGTCCGGAGATTAACGTTGCGTTGCATGACTACTTAATGTTGTCGGATATCACATACAGTCAATTTATTAAAACATAATTTATTTAAATAGTTAAAAAAATCTATAGAGGTTACCGATCAGCATAATATACCTACATCTAAATAACATTGAATGGCCTACGGTCCATTGAGAGCTTCAAACCGGTCGAGTGAGTACTGGGTCAACAAATCTGGCATGTTTGCTAGTAAAGCTAGATAAATTGATTGATAACGAACCAGAGGCGGCTTTGCGCGAAATTTAATGGAAACTGTTCCATCTGAACGGATATCTTGATCAACTTAGTGGTCTGCCTGATTGTGGAATGATTTATACTCGATAGATAATCAGTTAAACGAATTTCCTTTTAATATAAAAATAATGAATCGTCTCCACGCGTCGTAAAGGCAATCAATTATAAAGGTAGATTAATTGTTTGCTTTGATTTTAAGGTCAAAATATATATGCTTAAGTTCTTATTGAGATGTAAACGTTCAAATTTATTTGATAATCAAATACAACGAGAGGTTTTAGGTGCGTAATTAAGTACATGTGCTTAATTAATATTGCACAGGTGTTGCTTGGCACTTTGCTAAACCGCTTCCACATTGGTTTGGGCATATCAATTATCTCCAAAGAGCCCTTGAATTTACATCAAAACTTGCCTCAAACAAGATTTTTTATTGATTATTATTTATCGGTGTAGTTAATTTTATAGGAAGTGTTAAACCGAGAAATGTCTTTAGTAAGGCATTAGTCTCTTTAACAAAGGAGCTTTTGCATAAACTAGGTATTATACTGTGTCGTTAGTATAATGAGTATATTTCAAAACTGAATGGTTTCAAGCATAAAGTTGTCTATTTTACACCGTTAGCATAAGCACAAGATCGTGTACTAAGTCACGTCATAGAGTTCTTGTGAAATCGCACATCTAAGACGCCTATGTGTAAGATATATTATGTTATAGTATGTATTGGTATGTGGAGTGGTCTGCCTAGCCTGGGTGTCGCCGGCCTTGCCGTCAGAAGGCCGTCCGCGAAAGTCTTACTGCGCAATTTAACTCATTAAATTGATTGATGTAAAATTTTATTTAATAGCACTTAGTCGGTGTGACTTTGATAGCGCAGGCTTAATTTAGTTGCCGCAACATATATTGCGGTTTGAATTTAAGATAAGATTTTTGATTCGTTAAATGTTTTGAGATATTAATTCAATGGTTAACTGTGAGGTCTATGAGCCTTCCCTGGTGGAAAGCTGTTTTCTACCTGATAAAGTAGACCCGAACAAATTAATGGAAAATCTAAAGATCTCAATACAAATCACCTGATAGATGCTATCTTGTTTAACTTATGCAAACGTTGCTCAACTACTATTAAATAGCCTTTATATAAGCCTTTACTCCGCAAAATGACTCGCGTTTTTGCATCTTATAAAACCAAACCTGGTTTACATTAAAATCTCATTTTGTTGAACTCGATAATCGAAATCTTACTTGTTTATTGACAAAATTGCTACGAGGGAATCTCATTTGGCCTCTAGCGGTATCACTTTCAATTTTATTATCTTGGCGTTACGGTTGTAGGTAGAAAGTGAACATGGTCATGAAGTGACGCGGATGTGGGCACTAGAGGTGTCCAGCTGCGCCGATCAAGTGGCCATTCAAACTCCTTAAGACGTACCGGCGTTTACTGATGTTCACGCAGAGTTTTTAGACACACATTTCCTGTATTTGTTTGTCTAAGTAGTCCGAAACATAGGTTAAACTTTCCGTTGAATAAATACATTATCTATTAAATCAACACGTGTATATGCAAAGTATTGGATGTGGGTTGTAAATACGAGGTTTTTAATTTATGCATTGCCACCGGGGCTGTTTTTGTATTCAATATGAAGCGTGTACTGTAGTGTTAATATTAGCTAATGTCGTCTGACGTCATCCAATCATCAGACATATCAGACACCATTAAGTTCTTATAGATATTTTTCATCTATCAAAAAGGTATACGTTTAAAAAGTTCTAAGAAGGTTGATATCCAACACGGTTCAAACAGCCAGTTGTTTTATAAAACAAAATAATGATGTCTATGGAATTTAAATCTCGTGTTCTCTATTCAAAAATGTTTGTTTTATTTTTAGTGGCCGCCTTTTTCAATTAAATGAACCTTAATTTTGTTGATAGTGTAAAAAATAACAAAATTAAGCTCATCAGGTGCTTATTATATGATTTTATTTTATTTTCTGAGATGATTAATGTGATGTTGAATTCTCAGGTCGTTGGGTCATAGGTTCTGCAATTCTGCATGGTTTACGATTAATTCACTGCATTTTGTGCTATCGTAATTACTGAAACATTCATGTTTTATTAATTCAGGTATCCTTGTGAATAAATGGGTGCTCTGCAAACAGTTTCGTATTCGCTGTTAATATCTTCCAGGCATTTCTAACCGGTAATTTAACAAACACAGGATTGAACGAACGAACCAGTTTAATATATCATGTCTTTGACACCCCTTTAAGTTGAGCATTCATTCACCTGTCAAAGTTCATTCATCCTTACTTTTTAAGATTGATGTTGTTTGAAGAACCTAGATATTATAAGTATATCAGTACTTTGAGTTACTCTAAATTGTTAGACAATTTTTTACTTCATTGTTTTGTGTTAAGGTTGAAAATTAATTGAAGATAGTTGACAGTTCGTATAGTTTGATGAGCGTTGTCAGTCTTAGACTGATAATTTTTTATCGCATCATCCTAATCCTTAGTAGTAGACATCTATCATAGATAGTGTGCCTAGGAAGAGCTATGAATGTCTACGTACTAGGCACTTTGATTTACATTTTAAGTGGTTATCTAGTGTAAGTAGGTACCAGATTTAGTTAGATCATGACTACAATTTAGTAGAATCATTTTTTATGGGATAAGCGTTGAAACGAGCGTACGTATCACCTGATGGTAAGCAATCGGCATCGCCCATGGAAACCTGGAACACCAGATGCGTTACAAGTGCGTTGTCGGCGTTTTAGGGATTAGGAATTTGAGGATTGTTGGGATTGAGGAGATTGGGGAGAGAGGGAGGGGTTTGGGCCTCTGGTAACACGACGAAATATTTAAAGAGATCGAACATTATAAACGCGATAAATATGTACTAATTAATAATCCACAAAAAAGTCATTATAACAATTTTGCATTAAATTCAATAATATTTTTAAATACTTAATCTGATATTATGATATAAATGATTTTAAATACCTAATTATATTTGCATTTTTGTACAAAAAACACGTAAAATAATAATTAAAAGGTCTATTTTGGTCTTACCCAGTCTATTAAGGATTTTATTACTTAGGATATTTTAGATTTAATGAAATTATTGTGTAATATTCAAGTTTCCATCGAATAATTTTATTAACCACAGCGTGATATCGATTTTAAAAGTTAGTAACATATCGGGTCTTATTACATTTTTGAATATTTTCTGTAATAAAATGGAATATTTTTAGCCTCTGAAATTTTAAATGGCAATCAAAAATGTACATTATGGATACATTTTGGCTTCCCTTTCAATCTATATATTTAAAGAAAGAGAAGAATATTCTTAAAACTGAATTTAAAAATAACGCACTTTTGAAACCACTACCACCTAACCACAAAATGTAGGCATAATAAAGGACGGTTCTAAATTAGGGTCGACGGCTAATTGGTTACCATAAACCAAAACACATCATCATATGACTTGAGATAAGTAATGACAAAAGAATACTATAATGAACCAAGATTGTTCATATTTTTATGATAACTATCGTGAGACATCCTAAATTAACTAAAAAACGGTTACTCACGTGAATATACTGAAAAAAGCTTTACTAGATTCGAACCACAGAGGGGTTCTTCCTCATGAGCTACGTGCGCGGTCGCGGCGATATCGCGCAGCCTACGCTGACTAGGTAATTAAGATTGTTCTTATTATAAAGTACTTAAAATATCTTCACATCTAGTTCTTGGCCATCTAACTTTACCAGCCAGTTACAGGAAGACGTATTTTTAACAACACCATGTAGGTTGAGCGCAAATAAAAACTGTTTGGTACTATTTGTGTATAATGAAGCACATCCGTTGTTAGGCTATTAAATTGTAAAACAAGAAAAATCAACTCTATTAAATACTTATTATGAAACATAATTGTTTTGTTCTGTAGCTGTAAAAAATAGGCACTGACTATTCATATTATCATTATGTATGTCTTTACCATTCACGGGACCACAGGGTCCCGGTCATTTGGGAGGCGTACGAGGGGCCGAAGCCAACTGCGCAGAGGCCCTTTAGACAACTTTAATATAAATGTAATGGACACACAAACCGGCGACTATCCCTGTATGCACTATGGAAATGCATCCAAGGACAGTCCCCGGTTAGTGTAGGACTATTGTGAATAATGGAAAAAAAAAGGTAGGGCTATGGATGGGTTGCTGTGAACTGGTTAATTGGGAACTATGGATGACTATGGCACCTGCCGAAACAATGTAATTTTTACACGTAAAAATGGCAGGCGGAGACTCGCCAACTCACTGACCGGGCCCCGGGAATGGTTGCTAGATATAGCAACAGAGGGGCAACGAGAATGTGAGTGGCTGAAGGGTTAAGAAACTACCACCGCTTTCTACTCAGATCATCTGCTCCAGCCGAAGCCTCCTGCATCCCTGGCCCACTCGCGAC